CGGAGCGGGTGCTGATGCGGGAGCTGGCGGAGGTGTCGCAGCGACGCAAGACGGCGGACTCGCCGTGGCGAGCTCCAGCCCGAGTGCGGGCCGCAAGGCCGCTGCCGCCGACGCCGCCGGCGCGAATCAGGGCTCGGGTGCGGCGACGCTCCGTCCGTCCGTCTTCGTCGCTGTCGCTGCCACCGTTGCCGCGTTTACGCTCTAATCTGACCGTCTCGTCTCGGCGGTGGACTCGTGCCGCGCTCGCATTGTGTTTGAGCTTGCGGCTTACTCCAAACCCCCCTAGTTCCCTCTTGATTTCGAGCCATGAGTCGGGTGACCTATCTCGTCGCTTGTCGTATTCGTTCTGCTCGCTCTCTGCACTCACTCCGCCAACACCACCCCACCTACTGCGAGCAAGGCGGCCCTGACCGCCACCACATCTCCTACAGCCTTCTAATCCGTGTATATGTAGTCTGCTGGCGCCGTCTGGGTCGGCCCTCCGGCGTTTTATGTATCCTTTAGCTTTCTTCCACTCGACGCCATCTTGCGTCTTGGCTGGCGTTTGGCATCGGGGGCCCTCGGCGGCTCGGGTGGACCGAGGGTAGGCACTGCAGGCTTGGCGGAGGCCAGCACCAGCCCATTCGCGCTCACGCTGTCCATGCGAAGCATGGTGTGCGTTCTGATAGGAGGATGTGGAGGCCTCGCAAGGTCGAGGGCGGAGTAGAGTTCAGCCTCGTGTTGGGAAAGTCAGGCGCGAAGTGGCGGACCCAGGAACGATTCGAGGAACCTTGGACGTTGGCTGGTTGTTTGTGCTCATCATTGCGATTACAGGCGACAGAGGTCTATCATGCCGAGCGACGGACCAGTCATGTCGATGTCCGTGCAGAGGCGTGCAGCTGGGGGCATGGGTGCCAAGTCGTAGTCCTGAAGGAAGCACCGCCGCCGCCAATTGTTCACTGCAATGTTGTCATGTCGAGATGAAAGCGCTTGGATCGCTTGGGCTTGGGCAATTCAAGCCTCAGCAACTGTGGGCGTCATACCGAGGTATTTCATGACTGCAGCAAGTGATTAGCTGCGCAGGGTAATTTGATTCCTTTCATTATGCTTCCCCTGCAGAGGCTGAACGATTGTACTGGCGCGCACCGAATCTGACGGCCCCTCGGCGCTCTCGGCGCTCTCATGGCGCAACGCCGCGGACCCAGAACCGAGACTTGTATTCTAGGCCAGAGTGCAGCGGCGTCGGACTGGGCTGTGTCCGCACGCTCCCCTGTTCGGCTCCGTCAGCCATGCTCTGCGCCAGCTGCGCTCCATGCGAGCATGGTTAACGAGGGCAGCTTTTACATAATCCCTGCGTTGTTTCCCACGGCTGTCGGCATCGTCGGTCCCGTCTGCACAGCATACTGGCGTGCATTGCACCTGCAGGCTGTGTTTCATGCTTGTCGGTGCAGCGACCACAGGCCCAAGGGAGCGGGCGAAGGTTGACGCAACTGAGCCCTGGATACGTGCCTCGGTTGCTTGTCCGATGTGCTCGCCCATCCACTCCTGCAACGGCCGCAACAGAGGGCGCAACACTGACTAGCCAAGACGTGCCGAGAAGCTACCAAGTCCCAAGCCAAACGAGACGGCTGGGCGCCGAGGCTCAAAGCTCGCGTTCGTCCGAGGGGCTGGTCATCTCATCGACGTTGAGGCGGCGTCTAACGCGCCGCAGCTCCATAGTGCATGTACCAGTGCGCTGGTCCCAGTCAGCGGATAGTCGCGATCAGCTCGCGCGCCCCTGGTGGGAAAGCCAAGAGGACGACCGTCCCTCAGCCAGGAGAGAGATCAGAGAGACACGTACTACGGTGGTTATGCTTTTTTCACGCACAGTGTCCACTGACTGAATCCGGAGTGTCCCCATGCACCGTCTCACTGCGTCTCTCGGAGCTCACGTCTCACTGCTTTACCGCACCACGGACCGGCTAGTGCCCGGGCACCCAACTTTGCACTAATGCCTTTTCCACGCTCCGTTTATGCCCGGCGCCGGCGTCTCTGTCCGTGCATTCTAACGATGTGTGCAGAAATAGCATCGGATGCGTAAGGAGCATCCCTTCAGTTCGACTGTCTCTCGGTGCTGTGGCTGCATGGACAATTGCAGGGCGAGGAGGAGCTTGCACGTGCACCACGAGGGAATGACGAGACCTGGGAGAGGAGAAACGCAGGGGGGGGGGGTGAAAGGGAGCGAGGGAGGCGAGAGGACAACCTTGTTTGATCATGGTGGATGATGGTGGATGAATTGGTGCAGATGACCAGCGGGGGGCAAGGCCAAGGTCCACTGCAGGGTCAGGGTGTCACCCACGGCCCACGGTCGTTCCCCTCCCTCTCGCCTGATGCGTGCGAGGGGTGAGGACTGTCTCACTTGGCTCAGTACTCACCCTCGGGTCGCGCGCCGCACCCTCGGCCAAGTCTCCCCTAGCGGCCCTGTTTGGTTCCTCGTGCCTCAATCCGATCTGCTGTCTTTGCTCAGCTGCACTTGCCAGTCAAACCGCATCGGCGGACTCGCACGCCAGCGGGTGCTTGGCCTGCCTGGGCGGCATCTTGCGACATGCGACTGCCAGGAGACGCAGGATGGCGCAGGAGACGGAGGAGACCAGGTCCCATCCTCTCTCATCCGACGCACGCCTGATGTAATCCCACCCCCCAAGCCAAGGCCCAGAGTCGTCTTTCTTGCAGTCCCATAGACTCTGTCACAAACTCTAACCTCTTTGCGAGCCAGTCCTCTTTCACCCACTCATCTCCGCTCCCCCTCCTCAGAGAGCCCTCCCCTCCGGATCCCCCGATGACCACACCCACTCCCACCGCAATTTATCCTCCTCCCTCTTGACTCTCTTCACCACACTAGTTCTATCAACACACACACACAGCACCGCTGCGAGCACTTGCATCCGCCTTCTCGGCCCCCCTTCTTCACCTTCTGCATCCTTCGCCCCCTCGTCTTCGCTCGCCCTCCGACGCGTTCACGACAGCGACCGTTTGCCCCCCATTTCCCCCTCCTAGCGACACCCAACCCACCTTTCTCATCTTCCCACCATCCCTCGCGACACCATGAAGCTCGCCACGACGCTTGCCGTCATCGCCGCCACGCTCCCGGCCGTCTTCGGACAAGGCTTCAGTCTCGACCGTCCCGCCGACAACGCCACAGTGGAAGCCGGGGACACCATTACCCTCTCCTGGACTGTGAGTTAATTATGCCGCGACGTATAAACTAACGTTCACAGGCCTGGGGAGGCGACCAGGGCCAGCCCCCGCCCTCCGAGGCGTATTTCTGGATTAGTGCATTCAACGTCGCGGGCCAGAACGCCTGGAGCATTTCGCCAGACGGCAAGACGCATCGTGTCGACGACAGCCAGGAGGCGCTCGCGACAGTCAAGCCGATCGATGTGTCCGAGGGCTCGCTGGCCGTGCACATCGACTACACCGACTTCCTCGCCGGTCGCGCGGACAAGAAGCTCCCCGTGCGCATCATGATCACGCAGGGCAACATGCGCGACGTCTCGCACGTCGGCACCAAGGGCCAGGTCTACGTCAACCGCAACATCATGCTGGAGGGCCTCTCGCCGGGCGAGACGGGAGTTAACGCCTCCCTCACGACGACGGCCGAGTCGCTCCTGCCCGTCCAGACCGACGACAGCGGGGCAAAGTACCAGCACGTCAAGGGCGCCGAGGGACACGTGAACGGCACGGTGGATGCAAAGAGCAGTGCGACGCGCAGTGCCGCCGTCATCGGTCCGCTGGCGCTCGTCGCGGGCGTGATCGCCGCTGCCCTTGTTGCTTGAGCGATCCTCGCATGAGCATTTCTCGGCGTGAACGACATTCTTTCCGGCCTCTCTGGACTTTTGACAAGGACGCCACCGACGTATCTCTCCCCTCATTTCCCTCCCTGGGACAAGAAGACCCTACCACTTGAGCATCTCCACCAAATCCGCATACGCATCCGTACCATCGCACCCTACCCCGGCCCATCCAACCATCCCATCCATCGACCCCATCGATCCACGAGTTCGCGACGAGTCTTATAATCGCGGGTCAGTGGTCCGACCCCAAAGCCGACCCCAAAACCGACAGCCCAGCGCCACACACCCATCACGCAGCATGTATGCCAAGCCGTGGTCATGCTGCGGGCATGCGACATGCGCCAGCGCCGACAACGCCACGAAACGCCACGAAGAGTAGTCAAGCCACGCGAAGCGAGCGACGGTGCGGCGTGTCGCGGCGCTCGGTGCGGTGCGACGTGAGGCGATCCGTCGCGAGCGTGAGCGTCGGCGGCGTGCGCGGCTAGCTGCTGCAATCTCACTCAATGCCTCCCGAGGCAGCCCCTTGTACATGGACTCTTTAAAGAATGTTACCTTTGTAATGAAATCATGCTTATCTGCAGGACATGCTCGCGCGAGCGAGGGCGAGCGAGGTCGCTGGCGACGCGGTCGAGCGCGGGACTAAGGCTAACGGGCGGACATGAGACACGACTGAGCGCAGGCAACTTTCAAGACATGGCAAGACACCAGTCCCAGTACTTGACAGACAGCGAGACAATTCCCAAACCATCAAACATCATTCCCAAACAGACAAACAGAACTGACATGACAACGCAGAGGCGCAGAGGCGCAGAGGCGCAGAGTGCGCAGAGGCGCAGAGAGACAGCGAGCTAAAAGCCAGCTAGAAGCCAGGCTCGACGCCAAAAGTTCATCATGGCCGCGTTAAGATTGGGGTGGTCTCTCATGACTTCGGGCATAGTCGTCGACATGCACAACGGACGGATCACTATCGAGCATTTGAGCATCCATTTACGAAGCAGTAATGGAAAGGCGCAGGACGTGTCGGCGCGTCGATCTTGCCGGAACTCAGGTAGAGGGGGTGGCAAAGAAATCTCATCGGACGGGCATAGCTGGCTTAGGGACGCAGCAGTCCAGCTGCCCTAGGCTATATGGCTATGCATGGCTATGCATGGCTGGGCTATTCGTGGCTCGTGGGTATATCTTCCACACCTTGACGCTGCCGTGCACCTGACATTTCTACTGCTCGACGCGTTGACTAGATACTATGCGCGATGGTCCCAAAAAGCTATAATGGGCTAGTCCGGAGGGAGGCCGGACTAGTACACTAGTCTAACGCGAAGCTGGACATAGATCCGAGTATTGATCTCGGCAGCGCGGCAGCACTGCCCATGAGAGATTAGAGCTCCGTTAGTCTGCTGCGCACACCCTGGCGACCTGGCGGCCTGGCGGACGAGGCCGACCCGGAGCACCCGGCTACACTCCGGTTCGACGCCGCGACTGCGCCGGCGCCCCGGAACGCTGGCCCGGCACTCGACTCCGGACCTGCTCCTCATCTGTGAACGGACCAGCCACCGTGAGATTCGGACGATCCGATCTGGAGACCTCTTGTCAATGCAACCAAATGCCCCTATGCCTATGCTACAAGTGTGTATGTACAATGTGCCCATCAAAGCAACGCGGCAGCCGCGACTATGCCCACAAGCGCTCCAGCGCCGACATGCGCCCTCGCCGCTCCCGCCGCATTGAGTATGCGCGCCTGCTCCTCTGCGCTCCGGGGCGTGCTCGACGGTCGGGGCGGTTTCGACCAGTTAAAGTCCGGCATGAGGTTGTTGGCCCAGCTGGTCCCGTTGACCCAGAACTCGGTGCTGTCCAGCACTCTTGAGTCGATTACGCCCTCGCTGTCCGCCACGCGGCCGCGCACCTCGAGCCGCACCCGGGCGCCATTGCGCGCTTCGGGGTTGTACAGGTCTGCGAAACTCGGCAGGAAGGAGTGGTTGTGTGCCGCGGTGCGCAGGCGCCAGCGCCCGTTCGTGTCGCCCGATTCGTCGGAGAGGAGGGCAAAGTACGCCCATTCGGGGTCTGAGGCGTTGGTCTGGGGTCAGCTTTAGGGAGTGAAAGGTTGGACTTACGGCCCACTGGATCTCGTACTTGAAGTCGGCGCGGACCGTCTCGTCCTGCGCGGGATGGAGGATCTTGAGCGCTGCGCCGAGGCTGGCGAACGCGCAGAGTAGGAGGGGGAAGAAGTGCATTGCTGCTGCTTCGGACCGCCTCGGATGTGTATTAGGGTTCTCGGAGGTTTCGGTGTGCCTGCTGTGCTGGATATGCTGGTGCTTGTTGGGTATGCTGCGATGTCGGACTGCGCGTGTCTGATGCAGTCACTGCGGGGGAGAGGCTGGAAGCCCAGTTGAGGTCGTGCGAGCGTGCGAGTCAGTGCGGGTCACTTCGCGTAATCCGCAGTGATCGCCGTCAAAGGAGGAAGATGAGATGCGAAGATCGTGTGTCGTGTCTAGAAATCTAACGGGGGACGGTGAGCACCAGGCGCAGCCGGAGCAGCCATAGTGTTATGTGCGATGAGTCTAGTGCCGTTCCGAACAGCTTTCAAGAAGAAGGAAGGAAAAAAACAACAACAGCACGGATACACGCCGGAAAGACGTTGAGACTGCGGCATGGCGGCGTCGCGACACTGCTTGAAGGTACTCAATCCTCGGCCTAGCGAGCTCTCGGTACCGGTACCAGGTTGTCCCTGACTCGAAAGGAGACCGCGTGCTTGATGCTTGACAGTTCTCGTCGAGTACGAATGGCTGCCAGGAGCAAAAGACGACCGAGTGCACCGCCATGGAACGCTGGCGTTGATTATTTCCTGGGCAGGCGGCGGTTTCGTGCATTCTCGGGTCCTGGAAATCCTCACCCATCCCTGAGACGCTTGAATGGAGGACGGACGCGACGACAGAGACAAGGGAAGGCAGGCTTCCGCTAGGCCCCCGGCTCTGCCTGCCTTTCCGCTCCCACACGTGACATCTTGCTCAGTTAGGCGTGGGAAGATCTCGGAGGCCTAGAGTGGTAAGATCTCCTGCACCGCGGTGGCCACCGTGCGACCGTTGCTGTGCCGTGGCCGGTGCCGCTGGCCCTGAGCTTGCACGCCGAAATGTGCACGACGAGGGACAACTCTTGGCGACTGACATCTACAACCAACCAACTCACACACTCTCCTTAGCCATGCTGTGGCTGTTTGGATTCCTCTCTGCGCTTCTCTGCGTGACTGGTGAGTCCCCCTGCTCTATCCCCCACGCCTTTACCATCAGCTAACCTTCAGCCAACGTCGGCGGGTTCGCATACTGGCCCGTCCTGTCCCCGTCGCCCTCGATCCCCTGGGTCGTGGGCGAGAAGAACATTCTGGCGTGGAAGACGGCGGCGGGGCTGGGCATCGAGACGTTCGACGTACAGCTGCACAACGTGGACAAGAAGGTGATGGACGGGTTCATCAAGCTTGCGCTGCGGGTCCCACACGCCGCGGCAGGCAAGTACGGCACATACGGCGGCGAGCTCGAGGTGGACCTGACCGAGGACGTGCCGACGGGGGACAAGTTTGTCGTCATCTTCACGGAATCCATGCACGGGCAGGTGTATGCCAAGTCGGAGCCGTTCAGCATCTTCAAGGCCGGCGAGCAGCCGGGCAACTACTCTAGCAATCCCGACAAGGTGCCCGAGCCCAAGACCACTGCTACCCTCACCGAGGGCCCCGTCCCCACGCAGGAGTGGGCCATTACTCTCAGCGGAAAGCCAAAGGTGTACTCGACCGAAATGGACGCGGCGGAGAAGGCAAAGGAGACGGCGACTTCGCTCATTTAGACATACCCACAGCCGCACGATACGATTGCGACACGATAGACTGTTTCTCTTCTATGGATACTTTGTGTACTATGCGGCGCATGGGAAAAACATTGACATGACGGTATTGACTATACAGGGTATGCAGCAGTGGCTGGCTCGGCTGCGTCTTGGGAATGGGATTTGGAGGGCGCGTCGGCCGGTCGTTGCTGAATGACCTCCACAGTCATGTCTTCGCTCATAACGACGGCTGTTCCTTCGGCTCCCCGTTCTTCGGCTGCTCCCGGACGATCTGCCGTCAGCCTCTCCTCCCCCCAGTTTCCTCACCTGCGCAAACCTCCCCGCGTCCCAATCATCCTCCACGACCTCAATCTCGCTCTCGGGCACCACAGCGCAGACCAACAGGTACCACCACCACTGTACGGCGGTGATGGCGCAGAGGATCGGCCCGAAGACGGGTCCCAGACTGAACAAACGAGACAAACGCTCATAAGGTGTCCACACCGGCTGGGCCATGACGCGCCTGTACACTTGCTCGGTGCGTTCCGCGACCGAGGCCCAGGAGTACATATCCTCCATCCTCTGGTGGGCGAGGGCCGGGTCGTGGCTGCCGGATTGGATCGTCTCGATCGCGCGCGTGAGGGCGCGAATGATGTCTAGGGTCAGTCCACATGTCAACAGCACGACAGGACGCTCGCTTCGCTCGCGGCAGACTCACCATCCTCATCAGCCCTGGCAAACTCGACCATGTCCCCGGGTAGAATCTCCGGAACACCCCCAACCCTCGTACTAACGACGAACAGCCCACTACACGCCGCCTCGATGATGCTGATCCCAAACGCCTCGGTGAGGCTAGTGTTGAGGTATATCTGCCCCCTGCGCAGGGTATCGTTCACGTCCCTCGGCCTCACACTCCCGAGCAGCTCGACGCGGTCCTGGAGCTGATTGTTCTCGCGCATCTGGAGCAGATCGAGCATCTTCGGCCCGTCGCCGCCGATCAGGAATCGCACGTTGGGATACGCCGCGCAGATCCGCGGCGCGGCGGATACCAGGAGGTCGATGCCCTTCCTGTACACGAGGCGCGAGATGACGACAATCGTGATGGAGTTGTCGCCAGCGGAAGGGATATAGGGCGCCGTGGGCTGGAACTGGGACGCGACCAGCGCATTTGGGATTACGCTGATACGCTCCGGCTCGACCTCGCCGCGGAGACTCGTGTTCTCCCGCCCAGTGTGCGAGACACAGATGCACGCGTACACGTTTCGCAGTGCTGAGGCCAGGAGCTTGTTCGTCAGAATGCCGACGCTGTCGTCAAACGAGAACAGGCTGTGGTCGCTGAATACACTCCGCACGCCGAGAAGTCCGCCGTGGTGGATTGCCTCGTGCGCCAGAGAGCTGAGGGAGCCGTGCCCGTGGACGAGGTTGATCTTCTCCCGTAGGATGATTGTGCGGAACCACGGCAGGAACATGAGATAGTTGGGCAGACTCGCCGAGGAGGCCAGTGTCACGAAGGGGACGTGGTACACCTTCAGCCCCGGGGCTAGATACCGAACACCGACACGCTTACCGGCGTGGTGCGTGATGACAATGACCTTACGTTAGTACGTGTGTGATGTTAGTCCAGACTCACCTTGCGGCCCCTTCTAAGCAGTTCGACGGACAGCGAGTAGATGTGCCCCTCGACGCCGCCCACGTTGGGGTGGAAAAAGTCGGAAATCATCCTTTTCTCTATAAGCCTATGCATGCGAAGAAACAAACGGTGGTTGATTAAAGAAGAAATTGTGGGGGTCATTCTACAGTTTATGACTCTGGGACTCTGGGCTGCGAAGACCGCAAAGTCGCATACTGGTGCCGCTGCCGCTCTCCTTCCAGGAGACACTCTATGCGGCAGCTGTGTGGGTGTGAGAGGAGAGTGTCATCATGCACGACAATGGCACTCTTAAGGGAAGGGAAGAAAGGGGAGATCAACGCTTACGCTACGGCCAGCTTGGAGTCCTTCTCCTCGGCGTCCTTCGGGACAGCGTCGACAGCAACATCCGTCTTGTCCGTCGACTGGTACGACTTGTGCTTGCTCTCCTTCAGGAGCGGTGTCGGGGACGATGAGCGCTTTGGCGTCTCCTTCTTTGACGTCTTGGGCGCGGGCTGCGAGATCTCCTTCAGCGTCGCCGACATCTGACCCCGGACCTTCTCGATCAGCGCGGGCACGTCGTCGGGGACCTTCAGGCCCTTGGTCTCGATCGGGGGAAGGACTGGCCGTCAGCTACAAGTCTATTGGAAGATAGCTCACCCTTGATCTTCAGAGTTCCGGTCTTGAAGTACGAGCCCTTCTTCAGGAGACGGCTGTAGTTCTCGCAAACAACAGGGACAATAGGAGTGCCGGCTGGGCGTTAGTTATGACAAGCAGCAGTTGGCAAACTTACACTGGATAGCGAGGTAGAAAGCGCCCTTCTTGAACGGAAGCAGCTCGGGCTCGGGGCTGAGGTGACGGGTGCCCTCGGGGAAGATCCAGAGGGAGATCTGACGTTAGCTTGGGCAGTCGCCTTGTAGCTCACCTTCTTGCGCTTCATCTCGTCTCCAGCGAGCTTCATGCTCTGAATAGCCGACTTGTTGTTGCCGCGGTCAATGAAGACCGAGCCGGACAATGACACTGACCGTTAGTCTCTATTCATGCACGTAGCACTCACTGAACCAGCCGAGTCCGGGGACCCACTTGAGCTCCTTCTTGGCCATGATCGCCGCATGCTTGGGGAAGATGCGGCCGAGGTAAAGGATGTCAACAACACTGTTTACGTGTCAGCAGGGCGAGTTTTGGGGCCGCACGGGTCGGGTAACTGGCGAGGTCAACTTACTTTTGGTGGTTTCCAAGCAGGACGGCCGACTTGCCCTCCTTCTCGAGGTGGGTGAGGTGCTCCTCGCCCTCGACGTCAAAGCTCCATCCCATCAGCGGGCCGGCAATGTAGTAGAACGTCCGCGCCACATAGTAGTCGGTGTCGAACCGCCGTCCGCAAGCGGTAGCGACGAGGGCGATGAACGTGGCAAGGAAGCCGACGCTGAGGAGGAGGGTGTAGTACTGGATTGACCTCAGGTAGTACCCGGCCTTGGAAAGGACAGACATGGCCGTCGCGATCGAGGTGGGTGTGAGGAGGGTGTGAGGAAGGAGGAAGGTAGGGAGGGGGGGCGGAGTGGAGTTACGGCCTGTCAGGTGGCCAGGAAGGTGGAGGTGTGCGGTTGTTGGTGGGGCACGCCGGAAAAATTATGGGTGACGAGGAATGAGTGATCGATGACGGACGAGCTTTCAGTCGTCGCAGTCCATGGGCCGATGGAGAGGAAGGAAGGTGGGCTGGCCAGTGCAAGATGAGATGAGATGAGGAGGAGGAAGTACAAGTTGCGGTGTGTGTCTGAATGGCCATCGGTCGGACGAACATTCTTGTGGGGTTGCCGCCAATCACCCTTTACGCTCCCTACGCGCAATCCATGATGGACACGGTCTTTGGGTGTGGTACGTGCCTGTCCGGGTCTGCAAGTGGTTCGGCCCCACGTGCGTCTACTTCCGCCCTGCGCCAAGGACGTCACCGCTCAAGCCACCCACCGTCAGTCCACCACCCACCTAGCGAGCGGAATACAGCCAGACTCTCCGTCCAGCCAGCCCAGCCAATATGCATGCCGGAACCATATTCCACCCAGCGGACAGCGTCACGGACATGCCGACGTGCACCGCACCACACGCATCACTACCTCGATCGACATTAACCTGCATACACACCTCGACCACTCTCGGCTTCCTTCACAAAGTCGCCGGTCACCATGGCAAACTCTCACCAGGGGTCATCGTACCCCTCCCTCTTCCGTAAGCTATGCAGACAGACCAAGCTGACATGCAGGCTCGGAGGAGATGTCACTGATCCAGCTGTACATCCCCACCGAAGTGGCTCACGACACCATTTATGAGCTCGCAGAGATGGGCAACTTCCAGCCCAAGGACGTATGTTGAAGGGGTTTGACAAGACAACTGACTTCCAGCTCAATCCCGATCTCTCGGCCTTCCAGCGTCCCTTCAACCACCGTCTGACGCGCCTCGCCGAGATGGCCCGCCGAACTCGCCTGTTCAACAAGCAGATCAAGGCCCTCGAGCCCCCCATCGGCATCCCTCCTCTGACGGCCATCCCTCCGTTCCAGTGCGTCGGACCCCGTGCTCAGAACGCCTTTGACGAGCTCGACGAGACTCTCAAGGAGCACGAGCGCCGTCTCGCCGAGATGAACAAGTCCTGGGAGGAGCTTGGCAAGCGCAAGGGCGATCTCGAGGAGAAGAAGTGGGTCCTTCGTGAGACGGCCGGCTTCTTCAACGAGGCTGAGAACCGTCACACCGAGATCCGCTCGTCCTTCGACGAGGGTGACGGAACCACTCCCCTTCTCGAGGCTGCCGCCGAGTATGGCACTCTTCCCGGCGAGGGTATCGGCGCCGGCGGCTTCGATCTCGAGTTTGTCGCCGGTACCATCGAGCGCACCCGCATGCCTACCTTTGAGCGTATCCTCTGGCGTGTGCTCCGTGGTAACCTCTACATGAACTACTCGGAGATCGAGGAGCCCTTCGTCGACCCGGTCACTGGAAAGAAGACGTACAAGGACGTCTTCATCATCTTTGCCCACGGTGACGAGCTCCTTGCCAAGATTCGCAAGGTCGCCGAGTCCATGGGCGGTACCCTCTACACCATCGACTCGTCGCCCGACAAGCGTGCCGACGCTCTCCGCGAGACCCAGGCTCGTCTCGAGGATGTCGACGCCGTCCTCTACAACGTCGGCCAGACCCGCCGTGTCGAGCTCAGCAAGATCGCCGAGAACCTCGAGTCGTGGCGCGATGCGATCCGCCGCGAGGAGGATATCTACAAGACGCTGAACCTGCTGTCCTACGACCCCGGACGCAAGACTCTTGTTGCCGAGGGGTGGACCCCGACCCGTGACATCACCACGATCCAGCTCGGTCTCCGACGCGCTACCGAGACCGCCGGAACGTCTGTGCCGCCTATTCTCTCGGAGCTCAAGACGCACCAGATGCCTCCCACCTTCCTCCGTACCAACAAGTTCACTGCTGGTTTCCAGGCGCTCATTGACGCCTACGGTATCGCTACGTACCAGGAGGTCAACCCCGGTCTGTTCACTGTCATCACCTTCCCCTTCCTCTTCGCGGTCATGTTCGGTGACATTGGCCACGGTATTCTTTCCGTTCTCGCTGCCGGAGCCATGATTCTCTTCGAGACTCGCCTCGCCACTGCTGGGCTCGGCGAAATGTTCGAGATGTTCTTCTACGGTCGTTACATGATCCTGCTGATGGGCACCTTTGCCATCTTCACCGGATTCATGTACAACGACATCTTCTCCAAGTCCTTCTGGATCTGGCAGTCTGGCTGGCAGTGGCCCGAGAAGATCGAGGGCCCCGTCACTGCCATCTCCACTGGCCGCGTCTACCCCTTCGGTATCGACCCGCTCTGGAGCGGCGCCGAGAACGCCCTCATCTTCATCAACTCGTACAAGATGAAGATGTCCATCATCATGGGTGTCATCCACATGTCCTTCGCCACCTGCCTCAACGTCCCCAACTTTATCTTCTTCAACAAGAGACAGAACATTGTCGCCGAGTTTGTCCCGCAGATCCTCTTCATGTGGTGCATCTTCGGCTACCTCATCATCTGTATCATCTACAAGTGGTCCATTGACTGGTCGACGGCCGACACCACTCCCCCCGGTCTTCTGAACATGCTCATCTACATGTTCCTCGCGCCCGGCACCGTGCCCGACGGCTCGTGGCTGTACCCCGGCCAGGGCTTTGTCCAGACCATCCTGCTCCTTGTGGCTGTCATCTGTGTCCCCTGGATGCTCTGCATGAAGCCCTACCTCATGTACAAGGAGCACAAGAAGGTCCAGGGCCAGGGATACGTTGGTCTCCGCACCGATGGCGAGGAGGAGGAAGCGCCTCGCAACTCGACGACGTCCGGTGTCGACCACGGAGAGGAGGAGGAGACTTTCGGCCAGGCCATGGACACAGGAGGCGACGACGAGGAGAACCCCCACGACATGGGCGATGTCATTATCCACCAGGTCATCCACACCATCGAGTACTGCCTGGGCTGTATCTCCAACACCGCCTCTTACCTGCGTCTCTGGGCGCTGTCTCTTGCGCACGCGCAGCTCTCTGAGGTGCTGTACGATATGACGCTCCAGAAGATTGGATTCGAGTGGGAGGGCTCCGCTATTACCGGTGCCGTTGTTATCGTGTTCATGTTCGCCGTCTGGTTCACCCTCACCATCTTCATTCTTTGTCTTATGGAGGGTCTCTCTGCCTTCCTGCACGCCATGCGTCTCCACTGGGGTGAGTTTCCGCTAGCTGGGACGTCGCAGTTATCAGCTAACCATGCACAGTCGAGGCGTGCAGCAAGCACTACATGGCTGGAGGATACCCCTTCACGCCCCTCAGCTTCACTGAGAACCCTGCTGACGACACCGTTTAAGCACGGCGAGTGTGCACCAGATGCGGCTTGCTCACTGCACCACAGCCCGTCGAACCGTAGACTGAAAAATGCACCGAATTATCGTTTCCGCAGGCGTCGCTTGCGGAGGGAAGGACAGTGTGCTGGCGTGCGGAGCGCTGATCCTGGCCGATCACTGTGAAACATGCGGACGCGTCTTCCTCCAGTCGCCGCTCATCGAAAACCAAGTCATCACTGACAGCTCTGTCCACATCTCACTCTCCATCACTCGCTCGCTCTGACCGTTCAATCCATGCGGCATGGAGACCTTGATCGATTTGGTCGAGCCCGACGCTCCGACGGCGCCTTCCTCGACCAGCTGTGATGACGACGTGTTCACCGTGCCCAGCGCTCAGAGGGGCGAAGCGGATTTGATCGTCCTCTATGACGACCTCCTCGACCTCGACACGCCCCCTTCAACACCACCACAGGTTGTTAAGCAGCTATCGTCTCCGTCAAGCCCACTGCTCACGCTGGAGCAGACGCTGCGGCTGTTCGAACCGCCGCAACTTCACTACTCACCAGAGCTGACACCAGTGGATTACACAGATGTTAACCCGCACGCTCCGCTTGTCGAACTCGACTCCTGCGAGGGACCGGCTGCTCGTCCGCGACCTCCACACACAGCGCCATCTGTGCCTCGAGCGCCTTCAGGCTCCTACACGTCCTCCCAGTCGTCGTCACGTCCCTCGTCTCAGCCCACTCAGCTCAGCTCAACTCGCGTGTCCAGTGTATCCACACAGTTCGCCGCACGGGCTTCCCCGCTCGTGCCCCCGGTCGCTGAAACTCCCGCCCAGTCGCGCCCCTATAGTGCACGCCCAGGTGAGTCGCCTTCCCTCGCTCGCGTCATGGACAATCCTGACGTTCTCAGCTCCAACTCAACAAGCTCACATTGCGGCTCCCCTTGCATCCATTCCCTCGTCGGCACGTACCGCCCGGCAGACCAGCATCGACAAAGGGAAGAACGGGTTTGCCGCTGCGGATCCACACAAGACCGGCCCTCCTGCAACAGCCTCACCGGCTGACACCTCACCCGTTGCATCGACCGCGAGACCCAAGCCTCGTCCGCTGCCTCCCATCCCACAAGTGTCGCGGGTGGCTCCTCCTCAAACGACTGATCCAGCGGCACCTCCGCCGCCGCCAGCTGCGCCGCCAAAGAAGTCCGCCCGCGCTGCCAGGAGAGCTACCGACTCCGACTCTGAGTTGACGGAACCAGAAGGGGCTGTCACAGAGTTCTTCTACGCCCCTACCGCTGCCTTCATGACTGAACTGTCAAAAGAGGCGTACGCCGACAAGGCAGCGTACGAGCTGTATCTCCGTGCGCCTTCGCCTCGGACGCGCATACCGCTGAGCAACAACTACACACCTCTCGAGGAAAGCCTCCTGCGGTCTTGGGCCAAGGCCGAGCCGTCTCTGGAGCAGCGCAAGCTCATAAAGGACTTGCTTGCGACCTTGACAATGGGGCTGGAGAGGTGGGAGCTGAAGAGCGGCGCTGCGAATGGGAGAGCGTGTGAGCGCGTGCTTCGCGTGGATCCCTTTGGTAGTGTGGCGTGGGGCGGATCAACGGGGAGCAAAGGAGACTTGGATCTGGTCATCATTGTGAGAGCTTGGCAGGCGGTGCGGACTGACACCAGGATAAGCGGCTCCCCGAAGGATGTGAGAATGGTGATAGAGGGGATGCTGATGGTAGACCACCCGTCTCTGTGGCGACCAGACCCAGTCGGCGACAAGTATGAAGTTATGCGTCCCATCGTGAAGGCCAAGAACAGTCTCTACAACGTCTACTACCTCAAGCAAAAGCTCAGCCAGATCGCAGGCGTTTCAGACTGCCAGGCTATCAAGGGTGCCACAGTACCCATCGTCAAGTTTAAGTACCGAAACTCTATCGAGTGCGACATCAACGTGAACGACATGGGTGGCTGGTGAGTTGCATTGGTCGGAGATCTAAAACTCAACTCAGGAACAACTCGAAGCTGATTCTGGCCTACTGCGAGCTGTCACCGTTCGTTCTCCGGCCTCTGGTTCACTTCCTCAAGCTATGGGCGGCGAGGTTCAACTTGAACGACCCCTCGGCGTCGCGGGGTCCACGGACATTCTCGAGCTACTGCCTGACGCTGATGGCGATTGCCTACCTGCAAGCGGTGGGACATCTGCCCAACCTCCAGCAAGGAGTCAAGGTGCCTCAGAACCTCGACCCTGCAAACGCCTACCTGCCCGATACAGTCTGGGTCAACTGGGGCCGGCAAAAGGGAGCGGCGGCTCACATCTGGTTCAGACAGAAGCCGCTGCCGGGCTGGGTGCAAGAGGACATCACCCTCGGCGACGCTCTCATCGGCTTCTTCGCTTTCTTGAAAGGCTCCTTCGATGCGTCCTCCCAGGTTCTTTCTGTTCTGAACGGTGGTGTGATCAAGCGTACAAGTGAGAAGGGCACGGCAGAGGAGCGGCGTCGTTTAGTGGCAAAGCAGCTGGCGCAGCTGTCTCCTGAGAATGCCAGCGTGCGTCTTGCAGACTTCGACGATATGGAGCGAACAAACTGGCACGAGGGTATGGGAACTGGCAAGTCGGGTGTGCAGCCGTTAGCATGGACCAGAGACGCCCTGGTCGTCCAAGACCCCTTCATCTGGGAGAAGGTAGGTTGCGCGCTTCGTCCCTTGGTAACCTTCAGAACTGTGCCGCGGGCATCTCCTCCTCCAGTTTGGACACGTTCTTCAACGTGAGTATCCATGCTAGCACTCCTCTCATACAGAACTCACAACCTCAGACAGTCAGCATTACATATCTGAAGCTTATCCGAGGTCGGCAGCAAGGCGTTACAGAGCTGTTGCGATGACCCCACATGTATCGTACGGACGCTAGTGCTGCGTTGTATGCAGATTTAGCCGGGCTGAATTAGCAACGTGCCTATGAAGTCATTAGGGCGCATTAGCCGGCAACCAACCACATTTCAGTGGCCAAAGGTGGAGGTGGGCGGTTTGTTGTTGTTGTTTTTGGAAGCCTGTCAGAAACGCAATCTGTGTGACACCAAGCAGTGCAGAAGTCGGGTGGCGAAGATGGCATTGGCAGAGTTCATGCAAGATCTCCAGAAGCGGGACTGGTGCATTGTTAGGTGCAACGCTCCTGGAGTCCTGGGCGGTGACTTACCTACGGACCATCTTGGCTGTTTGCTCCCGCCCCGATGGGCGTCATGCCGCTACAGCTACTTTCGATCCGCTAGACGCGTTCTGTCTCCTCGCAAACATTCCTCTTATCTCTCACACCCAACACCGCTCAACACCATGTACTAGGACGGTATGGCAGATCGCGACCGACTATCGATCGATACATCGACAACCCCCGGCCGCGCGCCGCCGCCGCCGGCGGTGTCGGCTGGTGCGTCGCAGGCTAGCTCGTCACGACCCTCGCCAGTGTCCCAGTTGACGACGTTTCCCAACCCGTTCCAAGATGAACCCGAGCCCGGGCTGCTCCCGAGTCTCATCTCCAAGGTCAAGTCGACGTTTGGTGGCGCGACGCCGCAGGCCCCGCCGCCGCCCAGTGAAGCTCAGCAGATCGCCGAGGCTGCACGCAAGAGCGGAGTCGGTCAGGGCACCAAGTCGACTGGACCGAAGCCCACCCAGAAACCGGCAGCGAAGGCACCCACCGCCCCCGCCCCCAAGCCGAAGCAGCCCGCACCCCCCTCCTGCGACTAGCGTAGCGCCCAGCGTGACGAGTGCGCCGCGCCGCCATCTCATGCCGGGTGAGCGGTGGAGGCCTGCCGGCGCCAGTCCCGCCCAGGTGACTGTATCGCCGATCACGAGCTTAACGACTACCGGTCCGCAGCATCCAGAGGGCCTCACCCCGATACCGACGACGGCGCCGAGCGTCGTCCCGTCCTTCACGAATCAGCCCGCGACGCCCGCCCTGCCCCAGATCGACATTACGAATGCGAAGGGGAGCGCGATCCATCGCATCCGCCGCGGCAGCATCAGCACCATTCCGGACTCACCGAGCAGCGCGTCATTGAACGCCATGATGTCCAATCCGAGCGACTACAACAACTTCTCCTTCGTGCCCGGGTTTCAGCTCCCTGCTGACGACACGCGGAGTGTGCGCTCCTTCGCGTTAGCCAAGCGCCCAGGCAGTGTTAGCAAGATCATCCGCAGAATGCGCGGTGAGGGATTAAGCAAGCACTATTGGATGGCAGACGAGAATTGCAAGGAGTGCTATGACTGCAAATCCGTGAGTGATCAGATATGTGTCAGATCTGACTGGCAGGTGTTCACGACATGGCGGCGAAAGCACCACTGTCGCATCTGCGGCCAGATCTTTTGTGGTCGGTGTGCGTCCAACATTATAGGCGCGCGTCGCTTCGGCCAGGACGGTATGGTGCGAGTGTGCAACCTCTGCTTAAAGATCATGGAGGACTATGATGACGAGGACGACCGCCGCTCCATCAGCTCCGGCATCAGTTCGCTTCCCGACCGCGTGTTCAGCCCCGAGGTCAGCTACGCCCAATCGCCCTTTGCCGCCTCGCAGCTTCTGAGGAGCCACGCCGCCAACGAGTCGCTGTCAGCAATCGACGAGACCGACGTGCCCCGATACTGGAACCGCGACCCCGATCGACCCTTCACGCCCGAAGGTGTCAGCGAGGCTGGATCAGACACCGAGGAGGACGGCTTATGGACCGGTGCGCGGCCAAGTACAGCTGCGCCCTTCCGAAGACAAGACGACGAGGCCTCTGACGACCACCACAACCAGGTCGTACCACACGGCACGCCGCCGAACCTCGGAAACGAGGGTGACCGGCGTGACTTCCCGACCACGCCCCATCACTTCTTCCCACGGACTGAGACGATGGACTCTGAAACGGATCCGCGTTACTTTGCCCTCATGGACAGTACGAATGGGCGACCAGGCATCCGCTCCCGCCTAAGCTCGGCCAACAGCGTGCTCGGCATCAATGCCTTACTCGACTCGGACAGGAAGGACGGGCTGTGGCGTGCCCGCTCGCAGTCGTTTGTGACGCCGCCAGAATTTCTGTGCGGCCCGTCGCTCGCGCACTTCAACACGATGCTGCAGCAGGCGATCGAGACGGCCGACCTGTCCACACCAGCACAGTGGCACAGAGTGCTTGGCAGACTGCTGCTCCGCGTGTCGACCAATGTTCGCCCCGTCCTTCGCGCTGGCGACTCGATCGACGTGCGCGCCTACATCAAGATCAAGAAGGTGCCCGGCGGCAAGATCAGCGACTCGGAATACGTCGACGGAATTGTCATCACGAAAAACGTCGCACACAAGGGAATGTCTAGGCGCTTGGTCAATCCTCGCATCATGGTCGTCACCTTCCCTCTCGACTATCACCGTGTCGAGACCCAGTTCATGTCCCTGGACCCCATCATGAAGCAGGAGCGCGACTACCTCCGCCTCCTCACGAAGCGTATCATTGACCTCCGACCACACATCGTGCTTGCTGAGCGGTTCGTCTCCCGCATCGCGCTCGACTATCTCTATCAGGCGAACATTGTTGTGGCTCGTGGCGTCAAGTACTCCGCCGTGCACCAGGTCGCGCGCTGCACGCACGCCGACATTATCGCGTCAATGGACCGCCTGGCGCTCGAGCCGCGTCTCGGACGTTGTGCCGAGTTCCGTGTCCAGACGTTTGAAAACGAGGCGATCCCCGGCCGGCGCAAGACCTACATGCGCTTCGAAGGCACGCACAACGGATTCGGCGGCACGATCATCCTGCGCGGCGGCGAGCTGGCCACGCTTAGGAAAGTCAAGGTCATTGCCGACTTCATGTCTCTCGTAGCATACCACCTTAAGAACGAGACGTTCCTCTACGGCGACGAGTTCCACATGCTCCCGCCGCACCCCCCCATGCCGCAAAAGTACCAGGAGCTCCTGGCGATGCTGGCCGAGGACGAGGTGCCCAGCAAGATCTACGGCCGACCGGTCAACAGCACGTCGAACGAGGAGGACAGCGACGAGCTCACGCCCCGCGCCCTCCCTGAGCGCGACGAGGAGCGCGCAGACGCCCTCCGCCTCACAAAGGACATTGCCGAGTCCCTCCGCCCATACCTCGTCACGGTCCTCAGCGCGTCGGTCGCTGTCCGCTTCCCGCCCCCGCGCCCCCTGGCCAAGATGGCCGACCTCGATCGCCAGCTGAACCACCTCTTGCTCCAGAAGGATGAGAAGGAGGCGCAGCAGATCCTGCAGGAGGAGCTTAGGATCCCCTTTGGCCGCTTCGAGGCGATCGAGGATGAGAAGGATAAGGCACAGGAAAAGGAGAAGCCTCAGGAGAAGGGCAAGGAGGACGAGAAGGAGTCCAAGGAGGACAAGGACAAGTCGAACGATGAGGAGAAACAGCCCGAGGCGGACGCGACTCCGAAGAAAGCGCCCGAGAAGCCCGCCTTGGGCGAGCCCATCATCGAGGAGATCGGCAGCGATACTGACACCGAGGACGAGAAGGTTCTCTCTAGCAACAATGAGACTCCTCGTGCCGATGACACGCCTCGAGCGGAGAGGACCGAGTTCAAGCCTCTCACCCCCGTCGCGATGGACTCGAGCCCCGAGTCCTCGACGTCTAGCAAGCGCAGCTCGCAGCTCGGCCCTGCGCCTAGCACTGCCGCCCCTTCCGCTAGCACCGCTCCCACGTCCATTCCTCCTTCCTCATCTGTGCCGAGCACCTCCACTCCGAGCCAGATTCTCCCAACGCCCGCGAGCAAGGGTGACCCGTATCGCGTCCTCCTGAACCCGGCCGACTTTGAGGACGCCACCAAGCTCGCATTTGTCGAGTACGAGCACGCCGAGCAGCTCAAGGTCTGGGAACACTATGTACGCAAGCACGACGAGCCGCTCGACCCGCAAAACTACCAGGGCATCATCTACACGCAGGCACTGTTCCGACAGGGGCAAGACAAACCGTGCACCGAGTTTGCGCGGCAGCAGATCAACTATTACCAGGACGATGACCAGTCTCTCGGCCAGTTCCTGGACGGCATGGTCAATAACGCTGGCTTGAGGTGTCCCGGCAAGAACTGCGAGCAGTTGATGCTGTTCCACTATGACGTGCTCGTGCACGGTGAGCGCCGGTTGCAGATCGTCATGGAGCAGTTCATGTGCCCCTTAGTCGGGCACGAGGAGCAGATTCTCACCTGGTCCTACTGCAGGCAGTGCAACAAGAGCTGGGAGCCGCAGGTCATGCGCGACGAGACTAGCCGCATCTCCTGGGGTACCTACCTTGAGCACTGCTTCTACCCGCCACAGACCAACACAGGCTTCGGGTGCACGCATGACGCCTACCGCGAGCACATCCGTTACTTTGCGCACCGCAATATGGTCATCCGCATCCACAACGACGAGATTGAGCTTTTCGAGCCGGTCCGCCCGCCAACAAAACTCCTCGTCCGCGTCGAGGACAAGGTCCGCATCAAGAATCAGGAATACGAGAGCGCACTCCAGCGCACGGCGGCGTTCTTCGACTCGGTCCTCTTCCGCCTCAGGAGCTTTAGCGAGGAACTCGTGCATCCTGAAAAACTCAGTAGCATGCGCGTCGAGCGCGACGCCCTCCTCGCCCGTGCTGTCGCCGACCGCGACGAAATGGTCAACAGCCTCAACCGCACCTACAAGCAGACGCCGCCGACGGACGTGCTTGCCATTAACGTCGTGCTGCAGACGCTGCAGGAGAAGGTCATCCAATGGGAGTGAGTAGAGCTTGGGATAATAGCTAACAGTCAGCCTCGACTTCATGGAAGTGGAAAAGTCGTACATGCCGACCGAGAAGGATTTGCGCCGCATGACGGCGACGCACCTGAAACGGCTGTTCGCGACGCAGGACGTATTTGGCGCCGGGGACAAGAACGTCGCGAGCACGCCTGTTCCCGAGCTCGACGAGAAGGAGAAGAGCACAGAGGGCGAAGCGACCGAGACGGCCACCACGGCCGGGGGCAGCACCGAGGTCGCCAGTGTTACCGACACGGCGCCGTCGTCGGCGCACGCCACGCCCGCCCTCGAGCCCGCGACGCACACGCCGCCCGTTGATTCGCCCATGGCGCTCGAGACGTCGTCTCCGCTGGACAGGGCTGCCGCTCCTAACGAGAGTGTCACGCCTACGCCTACGCTCTCCCGCGGGAACAGCGCCAAGCTCGAGCTCACCGCGACCCCGATCGCGGACCGGATCGCGCACAGCTATGACAGCGACTCGACCGTGTCGGCCATCAAGCGCTCACCGCTTGCTCGCTCACCGCAGAGGTCGTACCTGTACGAGTCAAGCGGGATCGACAGCGACACGCTCGGCCCGCCTCGATACCCCTCTCGTCTTCCCCGACGCGCTCACCCCACGCCCAGTGTCAGCGACCTGGTTCGCCGGTTCCAGGAGTCGATTCACGATACGGACATGTTAAGCCCGGACGCACCGCCGGTCCACCGGGGGCTGAGGCGGATCGAGTCCGAGGTCTCTGACAGTGATGTCGCGCTCCCTTCCCGCCCCAAGTTACGCCGCAACCCGCCTAGCCGCCACCGCGAGCAAAAGTCGCTGACCTCTGACGGCGACAGGAGCTATGCCGTGAACGCTGCGCGCATCCCCAGCTCTGCCGGTCGCACGCGCACCCGCGGCACGAGCTCGCGCGCCACTTGAACCCATGTGCTTCGCGGCCATGTACGTGCAGTCGAAGCGTGCGCCTCCACTCGTTCATCTCCGTGCAATTCAGTCGATGGCAATTCAGTACGGCGAATTGCCTCAGCAGATGAAGGACCCCGGAGCTTGACATTGCGACGATATTCGGGGGGCCGTGCGGTGCACCTTCGTCTTCCGCACGCACATGACTGTTGCGAGTGGGATGCCAAGCAATGGATGCAGTGGGCTGCTCTCCACGGAGAGAGCTACATAAGGCTGCGGATGGAGCTGTGATAAGTCCTCACGACGACAGGAGCTGTCTCTGGCTCGAGCGACCCTCGATATCTCTTCTGCGACCACCCGGCAGCGTATACCCCGGCAACAGTTCACCATGAAGCCCTCCCTTCTCCTCCCCTTCACTCTCTTCGGAGTCGCTCTCGCTCTCCCGCCCGCCGACCGCTCTCTGTCATTCACCAACCTCGAAGCGCGCGGCTACCCCTCCCGCTGCCCCTCAGGCCAGACGGCCAAGTCCAAGGGCGTCTCCCCGGACCTGAACGGGTGCTCGGGCGTGCCAGACGGCAAGTTCAAAGGCTGCTGCAACCAGCACGACATCTGCTACTCGACGTGCAGCCGCACGAAGCGCGACTGCGACGACTCGTTCTACGCGTGCATGAAGA